AAAATGGTAGCTGCTGCCAGTTCTCGTAATCCTACTCTAGCCGGTGCTTTGACCAGGCTTCAGAGGTGTGCATTCAGTGGAAGCTGGGAGGTATAATTCACCTGAGTCATTTTCCTAATATATCTCATTACGACCCTTATCTCACAGTTTCAAGTTATTGTTAATTGGTATTACTCTGTTTTTATTAACATTTATATTGATGTGTATTATAATTATATTGCAATGTATGTTGGCTTCCCCATAGTTTTAGTCATATTCAACCCTGGATATTTGTACATATTTTTACTGTTCGGATGTTTGTTCTTGCTCTTTATTATTCTCTATTGGATGGACTTGCAGATTCGAATCATTGCTGCTCAGGCTCTTACGACAATGGCAATTAGATCTGGTGAACCTTTCAGGTTACAGATTTACGAGTTTCTACACACTTTAGCACAAGGTGGTCTGCAGTCACAGCTCTCCGATATGCATCTTAGCAATGGAGAAGATCAAGGAGCTAGTGGCACAGGCCTTGGAGTTTTATTAAGTCCTATGATAAAGGTTCTGGATGAGATGTATAGAGCACAGGATGATTTGATCAAGTGAGAGCCATATCCTAATTTCATGTTTGATCCAAATTTGCTGTTCCTGATTACTGATGTTCGTGAGCTCTTGCTTATGAATAGGGAAGTACGTAATCATGACAATACTAAGAAAGAGTGGACTGATGATGAACTGAAGAAATTATATGAAACCCATGAAAGGCTGCTAGACCTTGTCTCATTGTTTTGTTATGTTCCAAGAGCTAAGTATCTCCCATTGGGTCCAATAAGGTACTAAATTATTAAAGTGCATTCTGTATTTGGATTAACCGTTCAAATTTGTCACGCTGTATCTAATGGTGTGCATCAGAAGTGGGGATAGTTCTTCAAAATGAAGTGCATCGGAAAAGGGATATCTTTTTAAAATGGGCCAAGAAACTTTGTTTAGGTTTTTGAGTGTTGACATTTTATGCAGTTCTGACTTTAGATCTTTATTTATAGCTCTATATCCTCAAGTTTATTGTGCAATTGTAGAAATTAAATCCTTAAGAGCATCCCCAATGGAGGGAGCTTAAGAAGGGAAGCAGTAGAATGTACATTTTGTTTGTTTAATTAGTTTTTAGTGTGGCTTCAGTGCTGAGCTACTTATTTTGAATAGTGGGAAATGTGGGCTAGAGTTATTGCGAAGGGCAATTTAGTGTGAGGAGCATAAATTTTCAAATATTTTGGTTTAGGATTTGTTAGTCTTATGACCCACCTCCATTTTATTTTATTCTCGTCTTAGTTCACAAAAATCCCCTCCTTGTATTGTAATATATAGATGACAGATCTACACAGCTATCCTTCATGATTTAATCATGATGTTTTGGTTAAACCATGAAACATTTATTTGTTGTGGTTGTGTTATTGATGTCGTTCTTTAATATGGGTGTCCTTTAATTTTTTTACAGTGCCAAGCTCATTGATATCTATCGTACACGCCACAATATTAGTGCATCAACTGGTTTGAGCGACCCAGCTGTTGCCACCGGTATATCTGACCTCATCTATGAATCATCCAAATCGCCAGCGGCTGCTGAACCTGATGCCCTTGATGATGACCTAGTAAATGCTTGGGCAGCAAACCTCGGGGATGATGGCTTGTGGGGAAATAATGCACCAGCTATGAATAGAGTATGAATTTGTTAATTTATTGTTTTTGTCTTTTACTCTCCTTATTTTCAATCTGATACGAGAATTCATTTTATCACTACTTACTAAAATCATATTTCTTTCTATATAAGATTTACAGTTTTCTCAAACACATGCATACAAAATAAATGCTAATATTCCTTGTTATTTGAAACTTAGTTGACTTTAATTGAAAATGCTCTTTTATTTTGGCATCAGGTAAATGAATTTTTGGCGGGTGCGGGAACTGATGCCCCGGAAGTTGATGAAGAGAATACAATCTCTAGGCCATCTGTTAGCTATGATGATATGTGGGCAAAAACACTTCTAGAAACTACAGAACTGGAGGTTAAGATTAAGCCAGATCCTTTTAAGATGCTTTAGGTCTTGAACTTTTATGGCGTGCAATTTATCACTGAAATCCATTTCTTGCAATAACAGGAGGATGATGCAAAGTCATTGGGATCATCATCTCCAGATTCAACTGGATCGGTTGAAACATCAATATCATCCCATTTTGGTGGAATGAGCTACCCTTCACTGTTCAGTTCAAAGCCAAATTCACGTGGAGCATCACAAACTACGGTACCAAATATTCTCCTAATCTATTATGCATCATTCTTTCCTGCGATGATACTTTTGTTGATATTCTAAGAATGGTTATGAAGAAATAAGCTCCTAATAGTTTTTGCCTTTGCAAATTGTGTTATCACTGCTTCAACTCACAGTTTTAGTCATGTTCTTATTGACAACTTATTTTTTGTATTTTTAATTTCTTACGAAAATCTGAATCATCCATGGCAGGACAAGGCTGGCCGAAGTAGTGGTCCCTCTATGTATGAGGGTCTTGGTTCTCCGGTAAGATATTTTTTCCCTTTTTAGTTGTATTTTATTCTTCTAATTGAAGTTTTCATATTAAATCTCAAAATCTTCAGATAAGAGAGGAACCTCCACCATACTCATCTCCTGGCATGCAAAGAAATGATTCATTTGAGAACCCCCTAGCTGGGACAGAATCTCATAGTTTTGAGTCTCAAGACGATGAACGGATTTCATCTGGACATCCAGAATTTGGATATGCACTTTACGATTTCACAGCAGGAGGAGATGATGAAGTAAGTCGATTTAAATGCTTATTGTTTGTTTTACTTTGTTTAGGGATAACACATTTTTCTTGATTGACAAATTGCTAGTGGTTAGTTTGTTAGGGGGGAAATATGTTAGTAGCAGTGATTCGAGCCATAGATATCCTACATAATACTTGTTGGTGTCTCAACCCATACTCTTGGACTACTCCTTCGGGGACAAGGCCTCACATATTTATGCATATATTTTTTAATCGGCCTTTCTGGCCCGTTGTATCCACATTGTTGATTTGTTATAATGTATTTATTTTTTATGTGCAAGTATGGAGATAATTAATTTCACTATTTTTCCTGGCAGTTGAATTTAACCGCTGGAGAAGAAGTAGAGATTGAGTATGAAGTAGATGGCTGGTATTATGTAAGTCTTTGAGGAAACATCTCTGTAATATTGGATGACTAGATCTAGAATTTGCTGGGATTCTTGTGTTTTTGCATGAGAAAATCAGTTATTGATTGTTTACTTCTTGCTGCAGGTTAAGAAGAAACGCCCTGGAAGGGATGGCAAGATGGCTGGTCTGGTCCCTGTTTTGTATGTTAAGCAATGATCAGTTTTGTAAGTAAATTTCTTTGTAACTTTGGAGTCATGCTGCAAATGGCCTTATGTTCTTATATCCAGCATTGCTTTTCAAACATTCACCATGCCACTGTCATATGGCATCCTGGATGTTACCTTCTATTTTTTTAATCTATATATCTTGTATCTTGGTCCCCAATTTGTCATGTTGTATGCTATCAAAGTATCATTTTCCATTGTAATTGATTACAAGTGTCTAGTCATTCATCCTAGGCATTTCAGCTTACCAAACATTTCAGTTTCCCTGAATGAGTGTTTTTTGCCCTTATATAGTGCAGTTCCATTATCAAATGAAAGTTTCAATTTTCCATTCCAGCAGTTATAACTTGAGTTGTATTGAGCACTTGCATGTGTTGGACATATCAATTAAAAATTTGTAACATTCAAATAAAATGAATTAAAGAGAGTTAGAAGAGTTATGCAAATAGGTGGTTCTTATATGTGGGAGACTGCTACAAATCTATGATATAGAAATCCAATGCTTGATTCTTAAAAACTCACATTCATCTTTGTAAAAAACAGCTGACAATTGAGTGGTCTTAGAAAAGTTAAAAAGTAATTCATTTATAATTATCCCAAGTTCAGAAGGAGTGAACAAGCGATGATCACTTATGGAGTGAGGGTGGCTCTCGTGAGTTAATATTAGTTATTCATCTTTACTCTTGAGTGGAGTACTCGAGTTTGCAGTGTTTTGAGTGAAATAGACAAACACTAAAGGTGGAAAAGTACTGAAAGTCTCGGTGCATTGAAGTTCTTGCTAGCTTTGTTTGAAAATAGAGTTGTATTAACTTGAAACGGTAATGGAAGTAAATTCTCATAACCACTTTAATTCACTAAACTGTGCAGAGGAACAATTGTTGGCCTCAGCTCTAATGTCATTGATTACTGAGAGGAGAATGTTAAAGTTGACCAAGGTGACTAACCTTTGCAAGAAAATAAAGTGATCATGAATTTGATGTTGGGTGAGTCTGAAAGGGGAAAGATGTCAGTAAAAAAGACAGCGAATTGAGAAAATTATTGAAATGTTAAGTACAGAGTGTCAATGATAGAGATCATGACTTAGATGTTAGGTGAGTCTGAAAGGAGGAAGATGTTTGTTGAGAAAATTATTGAAATGATTATCATGATCTCAATCTGATGAGTACCATGAAATGTCATAGTTGCTGGCAGAAAGGTCATGAACACAAAAAAGCATATTGAAATGAGGGAAAATTTAAAGAAATTGAGCTAAATGTGGGGCACTAGTAATGAAAACTTCAATAAATCAAAAACTCTTTTGAATTAGATATATATTTGTTTCATTTTATTTTAAACAAAAACCAATTACAAAAAAAAAAATAAAAAATCATTCAATACAAGGGAGATACAATACAAGCCATAATTAAATGTGTACAACTTTTCTGCAAATTACATTTTTAACCTGGTCTTCAAAAACCCATTGGTCTTCAAAAATACCTTTATTTAAAGCAATATAACAGTACAAAGTAGAAGAACAAATACAGGTAGAGGAATATTTGAGATATACTGTACTTATTGTTGTGTATATCAAGCAGCACCCACAACTTGTAGAAGCCAAACTGAATATCTTTTTCAAGCTTTGTGTGGAAAAAGACGAATTGGGAGATTGTTTGCAGGGATAGGGAAGGGATCAACAACAATATTCTCATCTGGAATCATCTTTTCCCACTTGAACCTTTTCACTAAATTGTGCATGAAAACTAGAATTTCTAATCTTGCATACTCTTTTCCAGGGCACATCCTTGGTCCTCCACCAAATGGCACAAAAGTGTAAGGAGCTGGCCCATTTCCTTCATATCTTGTTGGGTCAAATTCCTCTGGCTTGGGAAAACATTCTGGATTCAGATGTGTTGAATTTACACTCCAATAGAGCTACACATAAACATATCAAGAAATAGAAACTAATTAGGTAACCACAAAATTGTTGCACTCATGCCTTAGATTCAAACTTCAAACCATAAAGTAAAAATCACAACTACCTTCCATCCCTTAGGAATTGAGAACCCATTGAACATAAAGTCAGTGATGGCTTCCCTGAAACCTCCTTGGAGTGGAGGCGCAACTCTCAACACTTCACAAGCAACATTCCAAGAGTATCTCATTTTCTTGAGGTCATCCCAATTCAACAACTCTCCGGGGGATTTCGAATCTGCAATTTCCATTTGCTCTATATATGTTGCACAAAAGGAACACAAATTAAAGTGTGTACATTTTGTGTAGTAAATAAATTGCTGTTAAAAAAAAAAAATCATGAACTCAATTAAACCGTTAAACTGAATGGAATTAAAGTTAAAAGTTATGTTTAATTAGTGAATCAAACAATATTGCACAAATAGATCTATAATCGAATTGAAATTGAAACCGAAGCAAATCGAAATTGTAATTGAACCAAACCAAAACTGAAAGAAAAGTATTAAAAACAAGTTTTATTTTAAAAATAAAAATAAAAATAAAAATAGTTTAACTATTCGGTTTTTTAATAAATAATTAGTTCAATAAAAGTTAACTTCTAATGATTCGATACAGTTTAAAATTTCAATACGGTATACCAAATTAATAATTATAATTTGTTTAATTCGGAGTTTAAAATTTCAAAACGGTATACTAAACTAGTAATTATAGTTTGTTTAATTCGGAGTAAATTGAAAGATGTGATTTCAATTCAAGTGAATTTTTATTATAGTTTACTCCTGTTTGGTTCGGTTTTCATTCTAATAGTGACAACTAATTTGAAAAACTAAAATTCTTGCTTTAGGGTTATCTCAGTTTTTATGTTTTTATCCAAGTCGAGAATTCAAAAATAAAATCAAACTGGTTCCAATTTTAGATAAGCCTTAGTTCTTAATTGATCGACAAGATTGATAGAGTGCAAAGGTAGAATAAGACTTGAGGAGCACTATATTGCAAACAAATTTAATAGTGTTTATATCAAGATGAAGTTTTTCCTAAAATAATTGTTTCTTGTTGAAGTTTGTACTTCATATAGTAAAAATTGTTTCTTTAGTAATACATATAAAACAACATTCTTTTAACCAAAAAAAAAAGGAATAAAAAACATAAAAGTGCCACTTGATAAGTTTAGAAAAGAACAGTTTTTCATTCTAATCAACATTATTAGTAAAAAGGTTAAATATTACTATTAATACTTGCATGTTGTTAGTTGTATTTAATTAATTATAGATTACATTTTATATATTAATAAAATATATCATGCGTTAAGCAAGGTAGCGTGAAAATATTGTTTTAGTTCTTTAAGTTATTTTAAAATATTAAGTTAGTCATTTAAATATTTTTTGTAACCCTTTGATCTTTTATGTTAAGTAACGTTTGCGACGTTATTGTTTTAAAAGTTTCTGTTATAATAAATTGCAAACTCATATACCATTTGAACTGATTTTTCGCGCTGATCACGAATATGTAATTAATTTTGTGTTTGATTGTGTATTTTGTTCCGATCGAACGATTTTTCATTATGCATTTGTCCACTTTTTCCTCTGATTCTCATGAACCGTACCTTGCTTGATAAATTTGATTGCATATTCGTAATCAACGCAATAAACCAGTTCAAATGATATATGAGTTTGCAATTTATTGTAACAGAGATTTTTGAAAAAGTCAACGATGTATACGTTACTTAACATAAAGAACCAAAATATTATAATTTTTTTTAAAAGATTAATTTGATACTTTAAAATAATTTAAAAGACCTAAACAGTATTTTTGCCTAGTATTTACGTGATCTGAAATTTTTAATGAACAACTTCACACAAACATAGACGGATCCATGTTTCATATTAGATATTATGATAATTTTTTTTTTTACTTTATATATTATGATGTTTATAAAATTTAATAATAATTTGAAATCAGTTAATATGTTAATGAAATAAATTTTGATAAAAAAAAATGCTTATTTTAATACAAATAATTTTAGATTAATTATACCGACTCACCTTGATATACTTTATCGTAAATGCGAGGAAACTCCGCGAGATATTTAACGACGAAAGTGCATGCGACACTGGCAGTGTCATGTCCTCCTATCAAAAGCCCTAGAATCTTATCAGCAATATTAAGTTCATTCATGAACTCTCCATTTTCATCACAAGTCAGCAACATGTGTGACAATATATCTTGTGTTGGTGATGCAACACCTTGCGCCAAATCCATGCTCCTTTGCCTTATGATCTTCAGCAACTCCTTTCTAATGGTGTTTGAGGCCTTTATAGCTCTGTTGAACGGGGTTCCGGGCAAATTGAGCGGCAGGGATATGATTCCTGCCGCTATTAAATGAAACGGATCCCTGAATTTTGATACATGGTTCTCATCTTCAACGCTCATGAATAATCGACAAGCTAACAAAAAAGTATACCTCTTAGCCAATGGATAAACAGTGACTTGATCTTTATTCTCCCAAAGAGAAACAAAGTGTGTTTGAGCAATAGTATCCATAATACCAACATAACGTTGCAAAGCTTCTGGTTTAAGAAACTGAGGAAGCATTTTTCTCATCCGCACAGCTTCTTCCTTAGAATCTATTCCAACTGAGTTATTAGGAAATACTTTGTTCACACATTCTGGCCACCATGCCACAACTGTTTTATTCTCGTTTGAAAACAAATACTTGTTACTTGCGGCTCCACAACAAACCACAGTAGCTTCACCTAGGATCGATGTTTTAAATACTTCAGATGAATGTTTAATCGTTCGGTCGAAAATGAATTTTTCGGGATGTCCTTTCCATCCAGTCGATAAAAACTCGAGAGTTTCGCCGATCACCGGATAGCCCATTTTCCCCGGTGGTAAGTTCCATGGAGATTTGGTTTTGTTGAAGAGGAAAAAAAGTGAGAGGGAAATGAAAGAGACAAAGAGAAGAAGAAGGGAGAGATAGAAGTTATGCTCCATGCTTTTTATGAGATAACTTGAAAACTTTTGAGAGAAAAAGAATATAGTTGCAAACTTGTTTATAATATTGTTTTTATTTAAAGTTGCAATGGTGCAATGGAATGTACATGTTTTGAGGGATGTAATTTATAGGCATAATGCTAGGGAGTGTGTGATTTCTTGGGTGGGAGAAAGTTAGAAGCTAAACAATATAAAAAAGGGCTAAATATTTTGTAGCAAAAAATTATTGACTAAAGTTTGTGTTATTCCCTCATTTCCACGATACTAGATTCGAATTTTAATAAATTATTCACTAAATAAGAGTTAAGATCTTTCTAACAACAAGTGTGTTCTATAAAATATTTAAATATTTTTTTTAAAAAAATATTAAACATTTTAATTTTTATTATATTAAGACTACAAGAAAAGCTAATATTAGAAAGGACCATTGACTAGGCTAAAATCTGTCAAAAATAAAATTGAGTTATTTGGGATTAAATCCCGCGTAATACATAAAATAGAAAGAAAAAAAAACATAAAGTAAGAAATTTTTTTTTGAATTTTGAAACTTGTATTTAGTAGGGGTCAGTACCTATAAAAACTGACAATACTTACAATTTGCAAGGGGTCTGTCCTTCACCGATTTTTGATATGTCTTTTCTGATGGGTTTCCCTCACCAATATAAATACTTTAGTCAAATCAAATTGAAAAACATTTATTCGTGTTGCTGCGTGACAGAAAGTGGATTGTCACATGTTATCAATGGTTAGGAACAGTTCCTCGCTAATGTGATCCTCATTTAGTGCATGATGTAGTCCGTCACCAATTGTGTTTGTGTCCCACATGCAATTACACATCATGACATGTCAATATTTAGCTACGGGTAGCCCCTCACTAAATATGACCGTTAACCTTCGTGTGGGGTTCCTTCTCGCAAATGCCACCTATAAAATGCTCAAATCTATACAATTTATTACGCTAATATTTCCCTTAATTTTTTCTTTCTCTTGCTGATGTCTTCTTCCACCCTCCCACTTTTCATTCACAACTCCATCAAAGTCTAATTTTTTTCTTTCAAATATTCTATAAATATTAGGTAAATATTTTTGTTATATTATAACTATTTTATAATTAATTTTATTTATTAAATTTATCAATTAATTTTATTTATTTATTTGATGTGTTGCATGTATACAATTGATCATATAAAGGTCTCAAATTTTGTATAAAAGGAGCTTCAAATTTAAGGGAGCATCAAAAAGTATACATTTATTTTTTTCTCAAGATCTTAGATGTAATTGATATTTATATACTTTGATTTTGGTGTGATGCTGGTATAATAAAATACATATTATTATTTGTTTCGAAATGTATGTATATAATTATAGTAATATATTTTTGAAAATATTATTTTTATTTCTTATATTTTTCAGATTTATATTATAATATTTTAAAATTATTTATTAGAAAAAATTTGAAAAAACAATATAAATATATTTTGTTTATATTATTTAGTATATAAATTTATGTATACGTTGTTATATTGTTTATATTATTTAGTTTATATTATTAAAAAAACAGATAATATATTAAATATTTTAGAGAAAATAATAGTATATATTACATATATTTTTTAAAAAACAGATTATGTATTAAATAATGTTTTAAATGATTATATATTAAATATATTTATAAAATAGATATTAAAAACATATTATAAATTAATTTTATATGAAACTTTTAATATGTATTTTTATATTTTATTTTATCTTTGTCATGAATTATTTTTATTTTGATGATGGATATGAATATTTAATTTTATTGCACTTTCAATTATAAATTATTATATTATAAAAAACTTAAAAAAAAATATTTATTATATAATTATATTATTATAATTATAATAATATAATTAGAATAATATAATTTTAAATTTTAATAATGATTTATTATATAATTATATTATTCTAATTATAATAATATAATTAAAATAATATAATTACAAATTTTTAATGATAATATTATATACATTAGCTAGGGGTTAAACCTCTCACAAAATTCAAAACGTAAGTCAATTTGTTAGGGGTTTTATCCTTCGCAAAAGTTTGAGACATACAGCTAGGGGTTTTACCCCTCACAAAATACAAACGCAGGTACTTTAGCTAGGGGCTTATCCCCTAGCAAATCAGCTGACATGTCTGTGTTATTCTGTGACAATAGTCTGTGTCTATGCCTGCAGCGGAGCAGGCTGAATATTTAATATGACAATTTGCGAGAAACTTACCCCCTAGCCATAAATTTACGATGTTCTGATTAGTTAGGGGTCATATCCCCTCGCAAATATATGTTTTGTGAGGGGGTTTTTTTGGCTTTAGTGAAGGGTTAAACCCCTAACTAATTATAGTTTTTCTTGTAGTGTAAATACATAAATGTCTATAAAATTTCAGTATTTTTGTCTTTAAAGGATATGAAAATTTTGTTTTAGTGGAGATAAATGATGGACCAGATGTCTGAGACAACATAAATAATTGGTTTATGACAGATTATAGTTTCTGGGAACATATGTCATACACGACTTCTGAGACATTGTAAACGAGAAACAAAAACCAGTTTGCCAGAAAGATATGACAAATTAATTTTTACAAGATGATGAAGCAGACAAGCAACAAAGAACACAAGAGATTGGTAACTCAGTTCGGTGAAACCACACATTCATATGAGGGAACTCTTCCCAAGAAAGAAAATGCACTACTTTGAATTAGTTTAGTCTTAAATGAATCAACAAACCCTATGTTGTTCAAAGCCTCTTCCTAATCCTATTGTATTTCTATTTAAAGACTCTTCATAAATATGAGAATTTACTCACTTTATTCTCAATCACACAATCTGTGATTGATGTTTACAACTCAATGAATTATGTTGAATGTTACAACTCAACTAAGACAAACTTTCTATGCAAAGTTACTGAAAGATAGAGGTATAAACAAAGATTCAACCCTAATCCAGTTATGGAATTAGCATAGAATACAATAAACACTATGTTCTCAAGCTTATAGACTTAACATCTTGGAACAAGGTTTACAACTCAATAAAACCAAACCATATGCCTTATGATATGAAAGGGGGCGCTAGAGTAGCGCACATAAAAAGACTCAAAAGATAAACCATAACATTAGGTATCTTCAAAACCTGAACTCCTCAAAAGTGAGGTTTGAGTGTCTTTAAATAACAATGTTATCCCAATATTTTCTTCTTGAATTTCTGATTTAATTTTGTCCAAAATAATAGCTTAATCTTGTTGGACTTCATTTACTCCATAAAGTTCTCCAACAAAAGATATAAATTATAATTAATTCAAATTCAAATTAAATCTCCATTTAAATTGATTTAATCTTCAATAGCCATCAAACAAATCCAACAAACACATTGCACAAATACAACAACAAATTTGATCAAATCTAAACCAGATTTCCGGTCCAAAAACGTAACAATATTGGCATGTTAAAATAGGGCCAGATGTTGTAGTGCACATGTTGGAACATCGTGTTCCACATGTTGCAACAATACAACCAAATTAGTTTCTCTCCATAACTTGACAATCTTCTGATGTAAAGTGAATCTTGGATAAAAAACAATTTGCAATACAATTTGTCTGTTGCAAGAGACCAGATGTTGCAGCTAACAATAACACATGTCTTGATGATGGAGACCAGATATGTTGTACCACACATGTTGAACATCGTGTTCCACATGTTATACAAGAGCATCCAAAATGATTATTCTTCATATAAGTCTTCTTTGTAGAGTAGTTCTTGGACCAAAACTTCCTTGAAGGTACATTCAATCTTCTTTGACTGAAACAAATCCAAATCCTTTCCAGTTGATTTTGGATTATCAACAGAAACTTCTTCCCAAAAGCAAAACTCAGGATCATCTGAAAAAGTCAGCACCTCAAAACTTCTGAAGGACATCAGAATCAATCAAAACCCAAACCTTAAGCTTATTGCTTAAATAGTTAACTCAAGCACTTTATTCAAACAACTCTTGCTTAACTAGTTCTATCAAACACTTTAGCCAACAACTCTTTTTAGCAGCAAACCCAGATGCTGGTAAACAACTCAGATGCTGAAACACATGCTGGAACATCTTGTTACACATGTTGCCTAAAATACATCTTGTACACATTTTTTTGTGCCTAATTCAACCAATCCAAAAGGAAAAACATAGTATTATTTAAAAAGGAAATTAATGACATGCAAAAGAATACCTTTTCAATAACAAGACAGGGAATTTCAAGTAGAAAATTCCAATATCACTCGTAGGTTGCAAATGCACCAAAGTAACAACTTCGAGAGTGTCTCAAATATAGTTTAGTGCATAACTTTGAAAAAAAATATTATTATTCACATTGATGCAAATATGGTAGTGGATAGAGAATGGAACATGGGAACAACATTTAGAAGTAAAGATGACGAATATCTAGCTGAAGGGACTTGAAAACAAAGAGGGTTCAGAAACCTTATGGTTGTCGAATGACATGCAATCATCAACGCTTTTCAATTAATGATCTAGGTAAAAGCAAATAATGTTCAAATATACACACACTACAAAGCATCGGTGGATCTATCCAACCACAACATGGATGTTAATTTTACCTAGAAGAATAAACACAGGTACAATAGGAATGAGGTGAAGCAAGAATAAATATAAGAATATGCAGAAAGCCAAAGACGATAAAATAACAATTAATGGAGTGGGAAGACAAAGAAAGGTGATGAGACGAAGTATTATTGGGAGAACAAATAGAACGAGAAAGAGAAGAAGATTAGGTTTTAAGAAGACACACATAATACTAACGACGACACTAGTAAGGATAGAACACATATGGGATGAATTACCTCAACCATTAGAAAAATCATAATGGGCCTGCACCATAGGTTGAACCACTTTATTCATAGGACATAAAACTATATAGTCCATAACCTTGCTATGAAGGCACTACATGACGATAATGAAATCT